TGTGTGTGTGTGCGCTTATCTGTGCATGAGTGCATGCTATACACAAGGTTTCGGAAACACCGCCTCGAATTGGACATACCTATTTCATGGATCGATGTGGGCCTCCCGAATCAAACGTTTCCTGTGCTGCAACCATGTGATATCATCCGGTTTATGTCTGCTCATGACGAAATTGGACGGCTTGTGGGCAATACTGCTTTCGAAGATCTGGAGACAACCCTCATGACCTTCTGGAAGAGATACTCGGCTTTATACCCGGCACATCAAGTGTTTGCAGAAGGAAACGCTTTGCAACTTCGTCGCTGCATTCCTTGCTACCTCCATGGAGACGATGGACGGTCTTTCAAAAAATCCGGGGTCCTGCTGATCAACCTCCAAGGTGCCATCGGACACGGGTCCGAGCCTTTTGTCAAGAAGCATCACCTCAATGAAAAGTTTCGGAAGACCTCGATGGGTCTGAATATGGGGGGCCATTCTTACGCCAGCAGGCTCCTGTATTGTTCAATGCAGCGAAAGTTTTATGCAAAACAACCGCAAGTACTCGAAAACCTTCTCGACAATCTTGCAATGCAGCTCTTGCGTTTGCAACAGGGCTTCCAATACAAACAACAAAGCTGGCACATAATCCTGCTTGGCGTGAAGGGAGATCTGCCTTGGCTTTCTAAAGCAGCTGGATTGGAACGGCATTTCCTGCGTGCGCAGCGTGTCGAGAACCCGAAAGAACCACCTGCAGGCATCTGTTTTCTTTGCCATGCGGGTCGTTCCCGCATCCCGTACGAAGACTTTGGTGATTGTGCTGCCTGGACCCAGGATGGTTGTGATCCGCCTTGGTCGCGACCGCCGAGCCTATTGAGGCTGTATCATGACCCGGGGCAGCCTTCTGGACTTTACAAGCTCGACATCTTTCACAATTTCCATGGTGGATCTGGCAAGGACTGGGTTGCATCCGCGATGACGGAAGCCTTAAGCCTGGTTCCGGGCACTTCGCGGGAGGCCAAGATCAGCTCCATGTCACACATCATGCGTGAGTGGGGGCGAGATGTTGCGAAGAACCGTCCTCATTCAGGAGATTTTTGCGTTGAGCGTATTGGCCTCACTTCGTACCAGGTCTGCCCGGAAGCTTCGTGGTCAAAACATAATGACACCACGATATATTTACGATTCCGGCAGCAATTCTTCGCTGATCGGCCCGAGCATGCGCACTCAGAGAAGTTATCCTTGATTTACAAAGCCACTTGTGCCGTGAACCTTGCTTTTCAGCTCCTCTACGAGGGTGGCCTGTGGATTCCACAGGCTACAGCGCAACGAGTGGGAAATTTGGGCAGGTTCTGGTTACAAGCTTATGCCATTCTCGCGGCAAAAGCGCACAGCGAAGGCTTTCTTCGTTTCCCATTGCATACGAAACTGCACTACCTGGACCACGCATTCAGGCAACTGCAAGGACAGGCTGCCCAGTGTTCATGGGTATACAACATACTCAACGAAAGCGTCCAAATGGACGAAGAATCTTGGCTATGTGTGGTTTTGCATGCATGCATGTACATACAGATGTCATTCGCTCAGTAAGATACTGTTTGCTGAGGACTTCGTTGGCCAACAGGCCAGACTATCTCGACGTGTGAGCCCGATTACGAACTCTTTGCGATCACTCGAGCGCTACCTTGTGCGAGCACGTGCGGTGTGGGTCAAAGCGCTCGGCACTGAGCGCCAGGCAAAGCGGAAGATGCCGGCAGCAAGGGGTGTTGCCAGCCGCGAAAAAATGGCTTCGTGGAGCGAGCTGATATTGCGCAAAATCTTTTATACTCGTAAGGAACTCAGCCCTGATCCCAATTGCAACCCCGAGTTCTCAGAACCCAATGCGTTATCTCAAAACCTTGACTCAAAACAACCGACCCGAATATGCCCGTATATGCGAAATGATCGATCGCAAGCGAATAGCCGAGT